GACGGCGCTGACAGCGGTGAGACGCTTGAGTATATCACAGGCAGCAGCCAAGATGTCGATGCCTTGGTGCATATATAAATGATGCTGGCTGTCAGGACGATTTTGGTGGTGATTAATTTGTGAGCATCACCAACGGCTTCCGTGAGCTGTTGGCAGCAGCACATGTGTGGGCAGTGGCATGCTAAGTGATCAAAGTGAGGCACTATCTCGAGTATGAGGTTGATGCTAGCAGTAGCTAATAAACCTGCAACAACAGGAGTGTGAGGATTGCACACCGTGGGGTTGGCGAGTGTGACGAAGTCACCATTGATTCTATGGCGAACATGGATGTCAGCGGTGGCATGACCATTGAGGGTCTCTGTTCAGTGGAGATGAAAGAAGCAAGTTGGCCTTGATGATGTAGCAGTGGACTCAGACATGTCGAGTTGAACACTGCCGATGCTATATATGCATCCTAGAGGCTTGTTGCAAGCGACATTGTGATGTCCGTGGGCTAGCCACGACAAGAAGATCGAGGCCCGCTTGTTAGCGGCGGACTCGGTGACCACGGTGCTGTGGACAACATAGCTACGAGGAGGGAGATGGCTTGGCGACATCTGCAGCTGCTCCGGTAGGGCGGCGTAACGACATCCTCCTCCTACGGATGATGATCGGTCGACAGTGCCTCATCCGCTCGACAATGGCAATAAGGTCTCATGTATTGTGGATGCAAGCAGCTCGGTGACGTCCACATCGGCTCCAACGACCCTCGACGTAGTACAGCAGGGTAGCGACAATGGAGAGAGCGTGCATCATGGACAGATAGCTTCGCTCTTGACATGATGGGGAGAAAAAAAAAAACTCCGATGTGACGAAGGGCAGGTTCCCCTGACGAGCAGCACGACGACAACTCCAACGTGGCAAGTTCGCCTCACCATAGCGAGGACGTCTGGCCTCTCGATGAAGTCGCCAAGGACTTGAACGGGCGATGTCGACGCCAAGGACGAGTAGCATCTCGTCGACTCGGATGGGCGGCATGACGACATTCTGTGGCGTGTAGATGAATCGTCCACGGCGACTCCTCCGGCAACAACGGTGTGTGTATATAGATCGGCCTATGCATGTACGTGTGCCATGGATAAAAGGAGGAGGAAACAATCTTAATTAGCTTTACCCTGTGCAGCCATTGATCTCACTTTCGTGCTTGCTGATGGTCAGGGCGCTCATCCTCCTGCCGGACGCGGTGCTTCGGCCGAGGTCGCTCGCCATGGCCGATGTGCTCCGGCTGTGTACATGTTGTTGCTCCGCCGTCGGTCGGTGTGTATTGTTGGTGCGGCTGGATAGGAATAGATGGATGGATGGATGTGTTGGTTGTATATGAATGCCAAAGTTGATGGTCTACTAGCCACCGGCGTGTGCGCGTGCGCCGCAGATGGCTTTCTCCTCCTTTGGCCTCTACCTCCCTGCAGGGCCGGGCGCCGGTGATGTGCAAGCGCACCAGCTATGGATGAGTAGATGGATCAGTTCTCTTGCCACTGTGTTCTACCTCTGCCCTCTCTGTATAGTGAGATGGCCTCCCTTTTACAGTGGAGATGAGATGGTTCACAGCCAGCTGCATGCATGGCTTTATCGATATATGCATGGCCAGTTGTCCAACTAAATACTCCGGTGTTCATGTCATGGTAGTAAGTTCAGAGAATTTTGACATGCTCCCCGGCACAAATTTAAGTACGAATTCGCTTGCCCCGGTTGAGCATCTTGAATTCTCGATTTCTTGAGCACTTCACAACCTATGAGGCTGCTTTCGAAATCGCAAGTGCCACCGGGTTGTTATCATTACAGAAGAAAGTAGCTCTTAACCAGAGCATTTCATCAACCATCATGTGTGTCGGAGAAAGAACACGAAGGACAACTCAACGGTCATTTCTGTGCATCAAAGATGGGAGGAGAACCGGTGAAATGAAACTGTAGCACTATGGCAGTATATTCGCTACTGACATGAGCCCAAATTGATGACTCCAAATTAACATCACCAGCAATCACCATGACCAGCTTTGCAGCTAGAAAATGCTAGTGTCCACACCGTGGTTGTTAGCTCCATTGGGCTAGAAACTCTCACTTCCCAAAAGAAGAAATATTTGTAAGAAATTCCTCGATTGCCCCCAATTGAGCTTGTTGATAACTTGAGCACTTCCATGAGCTGCATTCAAAATCACAAACAAGTGCAACCAGGTTGTCTTCACTGGATTCCCCTTTCTTGATGGGAGCCGTTCCATAAGAAGAAAAACAAATAGCTCTAACCAAAGGTCTTCATCAACCATCATGTTTGTCGGAGAAGAAAGCGAAGAAGAACTCGACGACCATTTGTGCGCAGCAAAGATAGGAGGAGAACCATGTCCCACTGGGCGTGCCATTTTGTTTGGAGAGGAAAAAAAATTTAATTTTTTTCTCTCCAAACATGCAGCTAGCCACAGTGGTGACTGTAACTTAGGATTGGTTTGGTTAATTTGTAGCCTAAATAGACTTTACCAAATTTTGTCAGTGCTAAATTTGGTAAGTTTTGGCATTAACTAATTTTGATAAGGCCAAATTGTGTTTGGAATTGAAGTCAAAATAGCCTAAGTTCACTATTGAAATGGCCTATTTTCTTAGGCATGCCGAAATTTGGCTTCAAACCAAATAGACACTAAACACTATTAAAATTGCCAAATATTGGTAAGCCTAATTTAGGTCTCAAACCAAACCAGCTCTTAAGGACTGCACTCGTTTCAGGCTATCCATTTTGATGATGAACATTCATTTTGATGAAAAACTGACCAATGGCCAGTTTGTATTGTTTGCTCCAAAACCACAAGATACTACTCACTTTCCTCCATCTGTGGGAGTAATTGATGGTCAACCACTCTTGGATAGTGACATTGATGATTTGCTTCTCATGATGAAATTGCAGCTCTGTGGCATATTCTGTGCAGGTATATATATGAAAATTCTAGAGACTTCCCAATCCTAAGCTAGTAAGTTGCAAATTGTCTTAAGGAAATAAAGATGGATGTATATGAGGATGCTCCTAGCGTTGCATGTTTTGTGTGACAAGAGTGAAGTGCTTATGTGTAGAAGGCCCTCGAGCTATTTGTGAAGTTGGCTGTTTGTTTACGTAGTTTATATATGGTCACGTATCTTAATTATTACATATATACTAGTTATTCCCTCCGTTTCACAATGAAAGTCATTCTAGCATTTTCCACATTTATATTGGTGCTAATGAATCTAGACATACATATCTATCTAGATTCATTAGCACCAATATGAATGTGGGAAATGTTAGAATGACTTATATTGTTAAACGGAGGAAGTATAAATGTAGGCCATTTTACATTCGTGTGCCATGATTACATAAAAAAAATAGTGGGTTCAAAAATTGGAATGCCATTCTTTTATACACAATTGGTAAAGTTGTACTGATCAAATTACCAAACGACAACATGTGGAACGATGTGATAATGTCTCAATGGCACAACGTCTTCAGCGATTGAGCGACTAAAATAGTAGTATATGAAAATGCAATTAACTCTTCTCAACATTAATTAATCTCTTCACAAAAGTAGCTTGCTTTGCTCTTCAACGCTCTCACCACGGTTTTGTACTCGATCGTGGAGTAATCTTATATAGTTTGCTCCTTCAAAATCATTGTTCTACTGCCATATGAAATTTCATGGTTTAAATCCAATTGATCATCTCTTGCATAGCTGTATGGTGACCCCACGGTGTATAATCGTTTAATGGTCTGAGCATGATCAATGCTACGATTCTGGTTGTCACCGCGCCGCGTCTTCCAGATGATGAGTGCCGATCGATTGATGTGTTTCGCTATGGTCAGTCATCTTCTGTTTCATCATCTTCTTCGAACATCATTTTCCTACCATACCAACATAATTAGGTGTTCTCAACATCGTGCCATTTTTTCCAGCGATCCCTGTGTGACCGTTCGAGTGGAATGGATATCTGGAGCCACCCCAATCCTGATGGGTCCTAATTCTACACAAGTTTTGGAAATATAGGATTGTGCACAAAGTGTATGATATTTTAAGGATCGTAGAGAACGGCGCTAGTAGCAAGCAAACTGCTATAGGCACTTAAGCTTTTGTGTGGTTCCAGCCATATTCATCAGCACTTTCAAATTGAGTATATGTTTCTCTATGACTCAGCACTATTTAAATCCCCATTTATGGTTTAGCTCAATTGCACGTAAGAGCATGAGGCTTCATGTCCTACTACATGAGTCAGGAAAAAATGGCACAGGTTTTCCTTGCACATACATGTAATTTGTGTTTTACAAAGCTAGTCTCCAAGACATGTTAACCACGCAGGTCTAACTGCTGTCACTACAGTATTATTGTCCAATACTTTTGTATCTCGAGAAAGAACATGAATAGTACCCCCTCCGTATTTTAATATATGACGCTGTTGACTTTTCGACCAACGTTTAACCATTCATTTTATTCAAAAATTTTGTGCAAATATAAAAAATATTTATATCATACTTAAAGAACATTTGATGATGAATCAAATCACAATAAAATAAATGATAATTATATAAATTTTTTGAATAAGACGAATGATCAAACGTTGGATAAAAAGTCAACGGGGTCACATATTAAAGGGAAAATTTGAATTAGTTACGCATCATATACATAATAGATTGTCGACGATTTCTACTGCCAATTAGCAGAAGCATGGAAGACATGTGACTATAGCCGTAGACATGGCGAGCAGCAGAGCGCCCGGATTCGAGTGGTAGACGACGACGTACAGGGCGAATTCGAAGGCGGCGGCAACAAGATGGTCGTGCCAGAGAAGCAGCTGAATCGCTTTGTTCACTTGGTTGTGATGACCGAGAGGTTAGGCAACGCCCTTGGGACGCTGGTCTTCACCTGGGCGACCGTCGTCCTTCTCTGCGTTAGATTATACGGTTACAAGTATCTGAAATAAAGTGACAGGACAGCGAAGGAGTACGACGATCATTGCTCATAACGCCATTCCAATGGTGAGAATTTTTAGATGTTTGCATAATGACGTGACATGGCATATCAATAGATAGCAATTTGTTGGCAGACTGCCACAACAATTGTCAAATCAGTTAAACTGCTTGCGCCGTGGAATATGTACTATTGGGATACCTGTAGCAGCCGATTAATTGCAAAGGGCATAACCTATTCTTGATGCCTCCTAGTCCAAAACATCATGGTATGTATGAGCCATTGTGAACGACGACCTTGAGATTTTGGAGGGATTCATTGTGTTATACGCTATACATATCGCATACTATTTGTGGCGCAAGAGGATGTACATAGCGGTTAGATCAATTGCCAATCATCTAAAAAAGAAATATATATAGGCAATAGCAATAATGCAAACTGAAAGAGTTCATATAGCCCCCATAAACTTTAAAGATTGAATTGTACAGGCGGTCCCTAAATTTGTACTGTCATCAAGGTTCCTAAACCATTACAGCACAAACAGTCTCTAGAGACGGGTTTTTATACACTGTAGAGACGGCTATACCCATCTCTAATTGTGGTAGAGATGGTTTTAGCAACCGTGTTAGAGGCATTGCCATTGCTCCTGTGTCAAATGATTAGAGACGGTTTGAAAAGCCATACGTATAGTTAGAGACGGTCGGAACCGTCGCTACATAGATAACTCGAAATTCAAATCAAATTTCTAGACACATGGAAAACCATCTCTACTTTAATACCGTCCTTAGCAGTGTTGGTTACACGAGAATAATTAATACAACTTTATTCATAAAATTCATAAAACAATATCACCAGATTAAATTACCATTAGATCACAACAAGATTTTTAGCACCAGTACTTCGTATTGAAACAAACAAGTAATATCCATACATTGTTCCCAATGAAAATGCTTAAACATTATTTCCGATAACAGTGAAACAGTAGCTTGTTAAACAAGATAACTAAAAAAAATCCTAATGCAGCAAGTAGTATGGAATGATATAGTTGCCACTGTAAATCTATAACTTCACTCTTCTTCAGTTGAAGGCTGAGAAGATGCTCTCTGACTGGGAGATGGCGCAGTATTTGGTGCCTGAACTTCTTGGTTTTGATTAACCTGAAAATGAATCCATGAATGCATTATTTTCCAAGCTTATGCATATGCCCATATAAGTTGCTACATTTAAAACTAGTAATCTTGGGCCCATACCTCACTTGTTGGGATGAGCCTAGTAAGGGATGGTGGCAGCCTAGCCAACAAATTGTCCTCGGGATATTTCTCTGCCATATATGAGACCATAAAACTAACTTATGAAAGCATTGACATTACTGGAGCTGGTTCCTTGTTCATTGATTGCTGATATATTCAGAAACCTTCCACCATAATAGTTTGTAGGAGTAATGGTTGGACCCATGCCTCTAACTCTACCACTATGATCCTTTCCAAACATATCTAACATAGCTTGTTCAAAATCAGCTTCAGTGAGTTGTTGACTATCTACTCTTTTCTCAGCCAATTTCATGTATACCTCATTCTACATTGGAAAAATCATACTCTTAGCATAGTGTATTTTGTTGTACAAACAGTTAAAAAAAGATATGTTAGACCACGTTTTTCTGGAGTAGCATCAGTAACATATCTACCATCTTTTGTCTTATGGCATTCATCAAAGAAGGTTTCTCGGTCCACCTCCACCCCATTAACTTCCTATAGTTATAAATCTCAAACGCATGAGGAAATAGAAGAATGAATTAACAAATAAAAGTGCTAAATGACTTACCAGTTCTTTTCTCTTTCTTGTAAAACTCTTTCTTCCTAAAGTGTGTGGATGCTTGAGTGCATTCTCTTGGTTTCTGTCACTGATTTTCTAACAATACAATATATATCATCATTTAAATGAGCTGAGATAATTCAAAATGACAGCCACTCACTAAAAAGTCCCAACATATATTTACCTTAGAGTCCTTTGAGTACCAGTAGGAAACTAGTGTAGGCCATCGAGATTCATCAACAGTGTTGGGCACCGTTTGCAATACTCGTTCCATAGGTAAGTTAGGCTTGTAATATTTTCCTTTCAGTTTTCCCTTGTATTGCCTCCATTTACCATCTAACTGATGGAGAAGCCAACTCTTAGCTCTCCCATCAATTGCAAACTTTCTCTAGTGCATAAAAAAAAGAGCCAATGGAATTATACTGGGATCACCATAACAGTATGATTTTAAAAACATGGTAAACTAAACATAAATACCTTAACTTCAGTAATCATTTTTTGATGATATATTCTTATAAAAATTTTGTCATTCCATTTTAGAATATTCAGTGGAGCTAGATGTGGCTTCCTGACTAATGTTCCTAAATAGGATCCAAGAACTGCAGAAGATTGTCAGCAAGGTGCATTGAAACGGTCCAGTTTGACAATAATCTTAACTCCAGCTGGAAGATTTTAAACATTTGCCAATTTTGTTGGTCCCCGACGTCTTTTAATACGTCCATCAGGATCTACAAAGTTTTAAAAGTTAGTATATAAGAAACAATTTTGCAGAAAAATAAACAATATATCTTACGATACTCATGCCAGTTTGTGCACCAATTCTCATTAGATATGTTCTGTTCTTCAACATACTGATCATTCCGGGGTATATCTATTTCGGGATTGCGCACTCCATTCTGCAAAAGATCCAAGCCTCTGTAGTGTCGGGGACCTCGCAGCCATTCACACTATATTTAAAAAGGGATTAGAATTTTAAAGATATAAGTAACAAGACAACCAGTGCATACCAGTTAAAATGACAAAATGAGACCACACATAGCTCTAGATCACACATCTCCATATCTCCAGTTACTAAATGGAAGTGTCTTATAGAAATTACCAAGCAATTGAACAAACAAATACATTAAAAATATATTTGAATGTAAATAACTAAAACTCTAATGCCTTCAGCAAATAAATGCAACAAAATATATCATGTACAACTCATATCTCATCATCTTCATCTCCAACCTTTCCCATGTCAAACAAATCTTGGACATAGAATACTTGTTCAACTTGTGAAGAGAAAACAAATGGATCGTCCATCAGCTTATTTCCAATGTGTATACCCCACGAAAAATTCAAAAGAGTAAAACCAAACTCATCTTCCCTCGTACCCACGCGATGGTGCACATCATACCAATCACACTTAAATAAGAAGACCTTAAATGCTCCATTATAGTTCAGCTCTATAATGTCTGTAATACGGCCATAATAGCTGATGGCATCACCTTCAGATATATTAACAACACCACTGTTTTAAGTTTGCAGATTATTCTCACGAGAAATAGTATGGAATTTAAACCCATTAATTAAGAATCTACCAAATCTCCTTCCATAGTTACTCGGTTTTTCAGCTATTTTTATGATATTTTCCGTGATGCGTGGATCAGGACCACAAGCATTAAGCATAACCAATAAAAACATGGGTTTTAAACATTAGGCATATTAATTTTACAAAACATAAGTACATGCATGATCTGACTTGTTTTGCCTAACTTATACTAACCTTGTGGTATAGCCAATCATGGAATCGCTCATTAATCAACTTGTCAGATTCAAAAGAAGTGAAAACTGACTTCTTTTGTTTTCTCTTCTCCTCCTCTAGAAATTCTCTACAAATTAGCATATTTATATTATTTTATAAATTTTATTTTTTAAAGGTAATGTTCAGTTAGGTACTATACCTACGAAAATCCTCTATTTCATCAAGATGTCGTAAGACATAACGATGGGCCTGAGTAAGTGTTTTTGCATCAAACTTCACATCTTGAGCAGAGCCTATTGTTTCCCCAAAACTATCAAACAAATACTTTTTTGTTCAGAATTTGTGGGCATGGAAAGACTAGATTTATCAACCCCTTTGAGAAATCTTGCACAGAATGTTAACATTCTTCCGATCTGCTATAGACCCTTCGGGATGTGCACGATTACGCACATAGCTCTTCAACCGAACAAAATATCTGAAGTTGGATATCATGATCAAATCAATTACTATAGAATATGTAAATTTTAATGGAACAAATAGAATGAGCATATTTAATTACCTCTCAAAAGGGTACATCCATCTATAGTGTACAGGACCTCCTAATTTAGCTTCATCAACCAGGTGCACAATTAAATGAACCATGATAGTGAAAAAGGAAGGAATAAATAACTTCTCCATTTTACAGTGTCATCAGAACTTGTTCTTTAAGGCTGGCAAGTTCAGATATGTCTAGCACCTTAGAGCACAATGATTTGAAGAAATTGGATAGCTCCTCAACAATTGACATGATATCTTTGTTAGGATAGCAATTTCACAGTGCAATCGGTAGAAGGTGCTCTATTAAAATATGGCAATCATGACTTTTCAGACCAATGAATTTGCAGCTTTTCATATCAACAGACCTTGCTATGTTTGATGCATAGCCATAAGGCAACTTGATGCTCTGAATAACTGAACATAAAGTTTCCTTATTCTCTCTAGACATTGTGAAGCAAGCCAGTGGTACTATATAACGACTATCTTCTTCCAGTTTTGGATGAAGTTCTTGATGTATGCCTAGGTCTACCAAGTCAAGACGTGCTTCGAGATTATCCTTTGACTTGGCATCATTTAACAGAGTACAAACAAGGTTATCACACACATTTTTTTCTATATGCATTACATCAAGATTATGGCGCAAAGACAAGTGCTCCCAATATTGCAATTTGAAGAAAATGCTTTTCTTCTTCCACCAGTCCATAGGATCCGTGGGACTATTTCCTCCAGAACTACTTGTTTGTGAACTCTCACCATCATTTCCCCTCTTTCTTTTAGTTTTCTTCTTTTTGTCAGTACCTTTGATTGGCTGATCATTTGATTTTTCTCATTGTGAAATTTCTGCCTTCCAACTTAGTAAGGTTTGAACTACTGCTGGGCGCTTGAGGGGCGGTCCTATGTTCCACTGTACCATCAAATGGTTGCGTTTGATTACGGAACTCATACTTACCTAGTAGTCTCCGATCAGGTTCCCATTTTTCTGATTTTTTGAATTTTTTTCTATTCACTCCGTTGCTTGCCGCGTGTTATATGGATTTTCTTTCTAATTTCCTTCTTGTCGGGTAACCGGTTGGATATTTATTCAGGTGGCGTATCCGGTGTCTGCGCGATGGTCGATGCTCCCCGCGTATACGTGCCGGTGATCTCTCGTTTTTTTTTTTTTTTGCTCAACCGGTTCCACCAATGCATGCCGCTTCCTGGAAAAATTAGCTGCTGTAGTAAGCAAACGCACAGCTAGCTGTTTGTGCTTGCCTCGTGCCTGCATGCGTATTATGCGTGCTACCATGCATGGCCACATGTTTTCTCGTAGGCTAGCTTTTCCCCCTACTTGGCTCACTGAATGCCGCTGCGCTTGTGCCATACCGTGGTACATTTTCTGTTTCCTGCTTCTTAATTAGTACTTTTTTCTCGCTTTAATACCTCTTTCTTTCCCTATTTAAGCCAGCATCTCGTTCTTTTCTCATCCATGCTTCAAATCAAACTTCCTGTCTTTCTTTAGTTTGTAGTTATTTAGCTGGCCGTGCTCTTTCCTGCGTCGCCGCTACTTCTCCCGTCGCCATAGTTCTCTGAGCCTGGCATCGTCACTACTTAGTTCAGCTAGAACAACGCGAGTGCGAGATGTACGTGGATGCATCTTGGCGCAGGGCTAGCTGGGCGTCGGTGAGCCGGACGAGGTGCCTCTGCTTGTGCGAGCGAAACATGCTCGTGGTGGACTCCTGGTTGGAGATCTTCAGGCAGACATGTTGATCGTCAATGTCCACCGAAGCGTTGGCCTCCATGATGCCAGACCGGCTGTGGCTGGTGGGTCCTGTTGTGGGTGAAACTGTGGCCCTAGCGCATCGGCGTAGAACCCGAGCTTAATATGTGGTGGCGCGAGCGCGAATGAAACTTTCTATGATCTTTCTATCTTTGTAGAGATAACAACCATATTGGTTTAGCATGCTATGCATTCTTGCTTTTAGGTGGTAAAATCTTGGATAACATTTTTAAAGTATCTTTGCCAAATGCGGTTATATTGGTTTGATTCCCTTTGATTAAATTTGAAAACACACCAGTTTCCCCAAAAGCTCATCATAGTTTATTTTCTTTTTCTCTTTTTGCATTCTTTTCACCGTGATTTTCCCAAAATTTACAACAGTACAGACAAGGTAGAATATTATTTGTGCTTTCCTCTTCTATCCCTTTATGCCAAAAAGTCAATTATTTGTTAGCACATTGTTGCTTACACAAAATCTTTTTTTATCTCTTCAACAGCATGCAAAAGCTGCAACTTGGTAGGAGTAGCTAGAGAATATCATGTCACCTATTTAATCGTAGAAGACTACAATAAAAGTAGATTAGCGCTCCAAAACGACTTTACAGAATAGCTTTTCGTTTGGAAGATGTAACTTTTCATCCTGTAACCGTCTCTTGTAGTGAAACCCTGTAAACCATTATTAAAAAACATGTACTCACTCCTGTTCAAAAGTTTTGACTTTTGAATGAGGTTAAATTTTTATAATTTTAACTATCAATAACCTAAAAATATTTAATTTAAATGCACTAGCTATTTATCTTATAAAGTACTACTCCAGAATATAAGTATTTTTAGAGGTGGACACGGTTATTAAGAAAGTAGGTAGAAGTGAATGGTTGAGGGTTATGATTGGTTAAGCACTAATGGTGGTAGGTGGGAAAATTGAATGATGAAAAGTTCTGATTGGTTGGGAAGAAAATGTTGGTGGAGAAGTGGTTATATTTTGGATAAATCTCGAGGCTAAAAGTTGTTATATTTTAGGACTGAGGGAGTATATATATATATATATATATATATATATATATATATATATATATTCTTGCATATATTATAGTAGAAAAATAATATAGTCAAAAAGATATATTTTAAAATCGTGTCGTAACCGGAGGAGTAAACTTTTCTCCCATCATAAAATAAGACGGCTCAACTATAGAAAAAGATAGTGGTTGCAGCAGAGATGACTAGTTATGAGTGTCTCAGTTATTGGAATGTTAATTCTGAAATCTGAATCCTATGGTTAACCCCTTGCCATCGTACTGTTGTATATATAGATTCAATATACCAGGTATTATATAAGTTAAATCATTTCCTTAGGATTCCTAAGAGAATCGGTACGTACGCATGCATATTTGTTCTGTTTTCCTTTTCCAGTTTTTCTGTTCACTGCTGGAGAAAGGGTTTTTAACCCCGGTTCACGGCCTGTAGTGTCCCGGTTATTTAACCGGGACTACGAATCCGAAACTATTTATAGCTATCTTTAGTCCGGGTGAAATAACCGGGGTGTAACTTTAACCGGTACTATAAATACAGTAGAGTCATCACCAATTTGTTTTCTTTTTTTTTCATTTGTTTTTTGTTTGCATATTAATTTCGCGTCAAAATCACAAATCAAATAAACATTCACATTCACAGATCAACGCTAAATTCACAAATCAAATAAACATTCACAGATCTTTGATATCACAAATTCACATACTCAACAATAAAATTAATCGTCCACAAATTTCACAAAAAATAATCATAAACAACACCATGCATTTACACAACAAAAAATCAACACAACACAGATCCGCCGCCGACCCCTCCGAGCCGTAGTCGCCCACCCCTCCGCCCGTCCGCCCACCCGCCACCTGCCGCTATCCTCCACTCCACCTGCCGCCACCCTCCACGGCCTTCATGGCGTGCTGCCATGCACCACCGCCCGCCACCACCTGCCACCAAGAGAGAAGGCCGTGAAGAGGAGAAGAAATCGAGAGGAGAGGGGAGATGAGTCTGGCGAAGGGATAAGACGTGCGCGGTGGACGAGAAGATAGTGTCTCGAGAGTGAAGGTGTGCGGCTATATTTTTTTTCAAATGTGGTCCTAGTTGGTATAAACAACCGGGACTAAATATATATCTTTAAACCGGACTAAAGATAGTGGGGCCGGATGACTTTTTAAACTGGGACTAAAAATGATCTTTAGTCCTGGTTATAAAGATCAAAAAGTTCCCTTGGGTTTTTTAACTGGGACTAAAAAGAATCTTTAATCCCGGTTCCTATTTGAACCGGGGCTATTGTTCCACTAGTGATTACGTGTCTATAAAATGCATGCTATAGCGGTATAGCCCAAGTCTCAGAGCTATGTATTCTTACACGCGTACAACCTCATGTTGAAATGGTGGTTGAATTACCGACTAATTTCTTCCTGTATATGTTGATAGTTGCGTCGATTAGTTTTAAATTACGACTGAAAATTTAAAGAGATACACATCCATAATTGAAGAATTGAAGATAAAAATTACGGTACGGTCACACGTCTCAGACTATAAAGTAATAACATGTATTACATATGTGATAAATCAATATGATAAAAAAATAAAATAGTATAATCACCAATTCATATTTCTAACCGTGCAGCGTTACGCTGCACGAACCCGTCTAGTGATTATTTGGTAACCATCGGCGATGGCCCATAAAACAATATTTGCACCCCTTTTTTATCCCTCTCGACCCAATCCAGAACGGTTTTATTCTACGTGGCGTACACATGTCAATCCAGTATGTATTTTCCTTTTTTATTGGTGGGGCCCACCTACCATATACACTATAACCTCCTCTTCCCCTCTTCCACTCTCTCTTCTCTAGCCGTCGGGTACGTCGAGTGGCGGCGGGCGGTCGGCGCGCCCGGCAGCACACTGGGGCGGGTGGTGGGGCGGCGGCGGCGGGTCGACGAGCGTGTGGCGCGACATGGCAATGTCTCTCCTCATCCTCGGCTTCTCCCTCTGCGTGTCGTCGCCTGGCTTCGAGTGGCGGGCAGTGGCGGCGTTCATGGGGACGTTCTCGCTGGGGTTCAGGCTGGGAGGGTTGCGCTAGGTCTCACCATCGATGCGTCAAGGGGGCAGATGCTTGTTGTGGCCGCCCACAACTCCGGTTTCATCATGGGCAGCACTTAGCCGGCTCCGGTGGCAGCGGCGGCGGTGGCAAGGGCGATGGGATGTGGAGCGTGGCGCTGCGGTGGCGCGGNGTCCGACACGCTGGCGTTGCTGCAACCGCCCTCTTCCCTTCTTGTGCGGNGCACTGACTGGATCCCCTCATTGTCTCGTACCCCCACCCACCGCCGACCCCGCACGCCACTGTCTGCCGCCCGAACGAGCCACGCCTCCCCCATCGGCCGCTCGAGCTACCTCCTCCTCTGTCGGCTACTGTCACGCCCCGAACCAGTCCCGACCGGAACTAGCCCGTGACGCCCCAAATTAACCTGTTAATCGATACCAGTCCCAGGAAACAGTGCTGGTATCACAGGGAGACAGAATATCACAGCAACAGAGGTCTCTTTATTATGGAGTAGAAGTACAGTCATGTTGGGCTGCGGACAGATCCCGAGCTCACAACTGCATTACAGTAGGAAAGCGGAAGCCAGGACTTGGACCAATCATCATAGGCGCGACTTGGGAACTAGGTCGAAACCCTAAAACTCGTCGTAGCCGGCTTGCTCCTGAAAGAACTCCTCATCAGCAGGATCCGCTTCATCTTCTTCAGCAACTGGGGGGGGAATTATTTATATAGAGCAAGGGTGAGTACGGGAGTACTCAGCAAGCCAGGGGAAATAAGTGTTTAATGCAGGCTTCAAAGAAGGGCTGTTTGTTTTTGCAATTGATTTTATTTGAACTCTTTTCTAAAACACTAGGTGAGTGCTTCTCAAACGACACGGATGAGACAGTGCGTCTCGTCCGGTCGGAGTATGTGCAATGTATCAGTCTTTAAAATTGAAACAAGGTTGGCACCCAGTCAACAGATTTTCAAACGGCCACCCGGGCCAACAACTTTTCAAACGGCCACCCGGGCCAACAACTTCTTCAAACGGCCACCCGGGCCTAGCTGATCCCGTCAGCTGCTGATTTTTCAAACATCGAACCCATTATTCTCAACAGCAATTTCACAAGCAGTAGTCAAACAAAACTACGCTAGGAATCACCTCACATCCGCCCATGACCGTGGGCACAGGCTGTTCGAACACGTTTGTTAACCTCTGCAGAGGGGGTACACTTTACCCACACGACATTACTAACCCGGGTCACCCAGCCCGTGGGGATCAGCCACGTCGGGAGACCTCCAAGCTTTCATGACAAGGCATTTCCAAAGCCAACACAGGTTTACCATATGCCGACAAGAGGGGTCCCAGACCAACAACAGGTTAGGTCCCAGACCATACTGTGCCAGGAAGCCCAGTGGTCCTCCCCCGACACCACCCCGGCGAATCCACATGTCTCTCGGCATCAAGGCTCCCCTGATAAGCTAGTTACTCAGCCAGGAGTGTCTCATTCCACCCATGTGGTCGTACTTGTCTTATGTGTGGATGAAAATCCAAGGAATCGGCCCTTAAGTGCGAGAGCGGGAAACCATACACCCGGTACATTTCCCGGTCCGCGGTTTTGGAAATTCATTTAGTTCGCAAGCACCAGACCCAGGTGTGCAGGTGTTGCCAAACCTTTTGTAAAACCCAAGTTTTACCCAAGTTTGTTAAATAGATTTTAAGTTTGAAGGCGTCCGTCGATACTCGCACAGGGTGCACGAATATCGAGGCGCAACTAGATGGTTACAAGGGGACAAGATATAACAATGAACAAAGGAACGGATCAAATGCGACGAATTAGGTAGGTCCGCCAATCTGCCTTGCAGACGGGACAAACGGATTAAGTGTGATCCTATCAAGTGCATAATATTTTTGCAAGCAATATAATTAAATTTCAAATATAGGCTCAAGATGTTCAAAGGTGGCTTGCCTTGCTCGAGATCTGGAGCTTGATCCTCGAAATCCTCGCACTGCGGGTCTTCGGGTTCCGAAACTACACGCGAAACGGGACAACTCAACAAACGGCGAAAATAAAGCCCTATTAATGACCTCTAAGCGTGCCATTAGATAGATCTCGAGATTTGGGGAATTTTAGAAGTTGAACGGAGTCAAACGGATTTACGGTTGGGAAGATATTGAATTTCTAAGATTATTGAATTTTTGACCTAAAGGAAAAGGATTTAATTAAATCCTTTTAGAAAAGAAAAGAAAAGGAAAGAGGGGGGGGGGGAAAATAGACTTCCCTCGGGCGGCTAGGGCGCGGCCCGAGAGAAAGGGCGGCTCGGCCGAACTTAACGGGTCGGCCGGCCCAAGGAGGCGGCCCAGAGCGGCCCAAGACGCGCGCGCGCGGAGGGAGGAGAGAGAGAGTCCGGTGGACCGGGCTCACCATGCGCGGTCCCGGGTGGGACCCGCTTGTCAGCGGCTCGGCTCACCGTGCGGAGGGAGTACGCGGCTCATGCGCGCGGGCGGGGGAGGACGCGGTGCACGCGCGTGTTCGTGTGACGTGGTGCGCGGGCCCACGCGCAGCCTCACGGCTCGCGGTGGAACGCGCGCACGGGGAGGGACTGACCGGGGTCGGCCCGTCCCGACCTCGGCTGGGCTGGCGCCGACGTGGCGCCTACGTGGCTGCCACGTGGGCTGGCGGGAGGTAGACGACGACCCGGCCGCGAATGGACGGCGGGCGACAGCGGCGAGCGGCGGAGCGAACCACGGCGATACGGGCAACGACGAGCACACCGGGCGGTTGCACGTGACAAGGGAAGGCGAGCCAACGGCTCGGATTCGCCGGAGGTTGCTCGACGGCGGCGGAATGCGGCGGCGGCAACCGGCGGCGGGAGAAGAGGGAAACGACGACGAGGTCACGAGAGGTCGATTCCCGGCGGTGAGAGCATCCTCGCCGCCACGGGAACTCGACGCTAGCGTCGGATTGGGCGGAGCTACGCCGAGCGAGGCTGGCGACGTGCGGGTGCTACGGAGCTCGGGCGGCGACGGCAGCGAGCACACGGCGAGCGACGGCAACGGTCGGGGCGGCGCCGGCTAACTACGGGGAGGCTACTCGAGCTACTACCGAAAGCTAGGGGGAGGAGATGGAGCGAGGAGGAAGAACGGAGAGAGACATCACCGAGAAGAGGAGGGGCGCTGTGATGAGAGCACGACGGCGCGGGAGTAATCTCTCCGGCCTCAGGCCGGGGAAGAGGAAGGAGAGGACGCGGCCGAAGCTCCCTTCCGCGTCCTAGTGCGCACCGGCTCCTCCGGCACACACGCGACGAACGGTGACGGCGAAACAGAGGGGGTGGCAATGGCGCGGGGGCGGCGAGCGAGATGGGAGGGGAAAAGGGGAAGGAAGGGCGCCTGGATTTATAGGGGGCGGCAATGTCGGTTTGGAAACCGACTTGCGCGGTCAAGGGCGCGAGCTGGCGCTCGGCGGTCGCGGCCAAAGCGGCGACAGGGGGGATGACGCCGGCGAGGAGGAAAAAGGGGAAAAGAAGGGGAGAAAGGGCTTGTCCCCTGCCGATTTGAGAAAGGAGGAGGGAGCGGGAGCGTCGCGGCAGAGGGAGGAGGGGCGCTGCCTCCGTTCCTTGGCAGCTTGCGCGGAGTGGCGGGGCCAGGCGGTGACGACGGCGATGACGGCGGGCGGATTGGAGCGGCGCGACGACACAGACGACAGACGCGTGCAGAGGCTGACGGCGGCGGCGACTGGGCGGTCGGCCACCACGGCACGCGCGCGCGGCTCGCAACGGAAGGCGCGGCGGATGGAGTGGCGTGGCTCGGGCACGCGCGCTGGCTCGCGGGCCAAGCGGCTGCGCGGCTGCAGGCACAGGCAGGGCAGCGGGGCCAGGGCGACGCAGACGCGACGCGGCGACGACCACACGGGCGCGCGCAGCGAACGAGCGCGGGGAGCGGAGTGGGAGGACTCAGGCTTGGCGCGGCAGGCTCACGCGCACGCGCGCAGGCCGAGCGGAGGGGGAGGGAGACAGCTTGGCTCAGCAGGCTCACAGCAGCACAGCGCGCGCGGTGCGCGGGCGGGCGGAGCGGGGGAAAGAAACGCGCCGGGGGGGGGGAGAGAGAGCGAGAGAGAGAGAGAGAGAGAGAGAGAGAGAGAGAGAGAGAGCGAGAGAGCGGGCGCCCGGGAGAGAGGGGGCCAGGGGAGAGATGGGCCGAGCGGAATTCGGCCCATCGAACCCGGGGGAGGTAAACTAGACTTTTGCAGAGGAATTGATTTGGAAGGATTTGGATTCGGAATTGACTTCGACGACAGATCGGGGATTGAGATCTTGAGATGGCACGGGCACTAGACAACAAGCAAAGAAACAAATTTCGCAATTAGGGTTTTTAAGAGATAATT